TTTTGGCCGCTTCTACTTTTCGAAAATCGTATTTCTGCCTTAAAAATCAAAAAAGCATAGGCGGATTGGTCTCGAATGGAGGAAAGCTGCAGAAGCTTCATGCGGCAGTGCATTTCTGTCGTTAATTTCTCAGTTTCAATGCTAAATTATACAAAAGCTCGCTTGAAATCTACTTTTAACCGCTTTTACTTCGCAGAAATCACTCCTCTGCCTCTTATAACAAAGAAGCAAAGGGACCTTGGTCTCGAAAAATAAAAGTTTCCAAGAGCTTCAAGCGGCAAACATATCTCCTAAGAAATTCTCGGTTTCAATGTTAAATTATACAAAACTTGCTTGAATTCCACTTTTGACCGCTTTTACTAGGTCTTAAAGAAAGCTCCCGGGCACTTGCAAAAATTTCAAATCGCTGTAACTTCAAGCAGATTGATTTTTCTTCAAAGCTACAAAATTCGTTGCAAAGACAATTTTGTCTACAACATATATTGACCTTGCTGGCTCTTCAGCGTCTCACTGCGGTCCACCAGCATGCGCAGAAGGGAAAAAGATTGACGCGAAAAGTGTCCTATTTGCGCAGAATATCTCAGGCATGATGAGAGCTGGACAGCTCACATGCTGTAGTTATACAGAAGTTTGCTGGGGGCTATCTTGGAGACTATTTTATATCTATTTATTTATTTATTATTTATTTAGACTATTTACGCCTTTGAGCTACTATCTGCAAACTAGGTTTTTCCAGATAGCTTAAGAAATCGACCATTTTTTGCCCCATAAACGCACCACTTTTCGAGTAAGTGACTTTGAAGTCTTTTCGTTCTGCACAGAAGGAACCAAATCTTTGATTATTGCGAATATTGTTGGGCTAATCCCTATACATCTTTTGGATCCAATGGCGATCCTCGCAGAAGCGATGTCAGCTGCGAAAATAGTTGCAGTCGGAGGCAGGTTTGACAGTTTGTAATTTCTGAGCGCAGATCGCAAAATTTGAGTGCAGCTGCGGGTCAGAAGCTAACAGTCTCCTCGATTGGATCACACACGATTTGGACGAAAACCTATGAACACAAAAAAATAGCCGCAGGAAGAAAAAATGTGAAATTGTCATGGTTAGAAAGATTTTTATTTTTGACGTGCAGATCGTATATGTTGGCATTGATGAAAATTAGAAGCGGCTTCGAAAAATTAGGCTTCCCTCTACCGAACAGTAAAGAAACTTGGTATTCCGAAGGAGCGGCAAAGAAAATGCATCAGAAAACAAAATCTTCAAAAGTGCCCGGACTCTTTCTTCACAACCTAATATTTCGCAGAAATTATACCTCTGCCTCCTATAACAAAGAAGCAAAGCGAGAGCTTGGTCTCGAGGGAAGGAAGGCCTAAGGGCTTCATCGGCAGTGCATTTCTACTAAGATTTTCTCAATTTCAATGCTAACTATACAAAAGCTCGCTTGTCCACTTTTGGCCGTTTTTACTTCGCAGAAATCATACCTCTGCCTTCTATAATAAAGAAGCAAAGCACTTGTCTAGGGGAGAAAGGTCCCGAGGGCTTATGCGGCAAGATCAACGCTAAATTATCATATTGCTTGAAATTCACTTTGGCCGCTTTTACTTCGCAAAAATCATACTTTTGCCCTTTAGCAAAAAAGGAAAGGGAGCTTGGTCTCGAAGGAAAGAAGTTCCAAGTGCTTCAAGCGGCAAACTTTTCTGCTAAGAACTTCTTAGGCTTAAAGCAAAATTATACAAAAGCTCGATTGATACCCACTTTTGACCGCTTCTACTTCGAGAAAATCGTACTTCTGCGCCTAAAAGCAGAAAAAGCAAGGGAAGCTTGGTCTTAGGGGAAGAAAAACCCAGGAGCTTCGTGCGGCAGTGCATTTCTGTCGCTAATTTCTCAGTTTCAATGCTAAATTATACAAAAGCTCGTTTGAAGTCTACTTTTAACCGCTTTTACTTCGCAGAAATCACTCCTCCGCCTCTTATAACAAAGAAGCAAAGGGACCTTGGTCTCGAAGAATAAAAGTTTCCAAGAGCTTCAAGCGGCAAACATTTCCCCTAGGAAATTCTCGGTTTCAATGTTAAATTGTACAAATCTCGCTTGGATTCCACTTTTGACCGCTTCTACTTCGAGAAAATCGTACTTCTGCGCCTAAAAGCAGAAAAAGCAAGGAAATCTTGGTCTTAGGGGAAGGAAAACCCAGGAGCTTCGTGCCGCAGGACATATTTGCTAAGATTGTACAGGAGAAAGCTTTGAGCGAAATTTGGTGTCGCTTCAAGAAATGACCGTTTCTTGGCGAGACACATAGTAAGAAGAGTATAGGACTGTGCATGATCGCGAAGCTCGATGTGTTTGAGGCCGTCGCACATTCCTGAAAGTCAGGCTGAATTTCGGATTGAATCAGCTGTTCTACATAGATGACTGATTAGGCGATTTCCGTGGAGCTGGGGTTGGGTATTTTCAAGAAGAACCGCATATATGATTTGGTAGTTAGTCGTTGTAAAAAGTTTCTTTGAGAGCCTGATTTTGCTTAACTACTTGCATTTCGAAAAAGATCGTTGAAAAAATGGGAATTCATTCTCTTGCTATTCTTAGTTGCACGCAGACAGTTCAATGTATCCGCCCCAGCCCACTTACTAGCCGTAGGGTCGCTAGTGATTAATATACATCACCAAATATGGCTGGTTGACAGCCGCGCTGGATGAATATACATATGAAACAAATTAGCTTGCCCTCTAATAGCAAACTTTCTTCATAACCTAATGAGCATCTTATGTGAAGAAGCAATCTATCATGACAATATACACAGTTTCTGTTGTTCAAAATTTCTTGCTTCCTGAGATTTCCATGGTATACTTATCCATAGTTATATCATGAGTTGTTTGCCAGCTCATTATCTGTTTTGGGAATGTCTTGCCACCACTAGTAATCGCAAGACATTTTTTCCAATCTGAACTACAACCTGGATAAGGCTTTGAAGATTTTGCTGGTAAGTGTATCAACTTCGTCACTTTTTATTTTGTGATTACTTGGTGGACCACCCTAATTTCACGCGTATAAGGCGCGGGGTTTTTTTTAAATCGACCAGCCCAGACACGCCAAAGGACTTTACAACCAAAGGACCCTATCTTGATGTATATTGCTTGAGAGAATCGTGCGATATAAGGATTTCTTTCTGGGATGCAGTGAACCGGCTGAGCGGCTCGCTTGAAAATTCGAAAAAGTGCGCCTTATACACGTGAAAGTAGGGTAATAGGATTGCTTTTCTTGACATCAAGTTATAGTTCGTCTTTAAAATGTACTTTTCACCGCAGACCACATATGACGGTAAACTGCTCATATATCGCCTTTGACGGGCCAATGAGATTTGACGTGCCACATTACCGATTGCGCATGTGTGATCCAACGACCGTTCCAGATTCTTGAAGAATTTCCTCTATTGAAGTAGCAAAGAAGAGTGCGTTGGTTAAGAACGAGTTGGCCACCATCAGGTTCTGGGTTCTGATCTGTGCGCTGAGGTGAGATATGAAGGTCATAAAAAGTTGGGTAGTAACGGATCTGACCTCGCATCCCTACCAGTACCTATGGAGGTATGTATTGCCTCGTCTCTCCTCGGTTTCATAAAACTCAAAACTATTCTAGTGTCGAACTTTGTGGGTAGAGTACGTGCAAAGAGGAATCGCAAATTTTTTTAATTTTTTTACTTCCTGGAGAATGCGATGACGCCTATACAAGGCGATGCAAAGCATAAAACAACTTAGAAATACGAAATGGTAGTATTATATTTTTTGTTGATGCAGTGACCGAGATTATTAGAATACTTTATCGGTTATCGTTCGAGAGATCGCCTTCTTCAGAATCCAAAATAGGTAACTGCATTTTATTTGACAACATCTCTGCACCAAAGTGCGCAAAGTGTGAAGACTTTGGTTGATTACTAGCTCAGTTGACAGCTAATAATCCAACACTTATTTTGGGTTAGGCCGACGAGATTCAATGCCAGAACGAGATGACAACTGACCGCGTATGGGGGCCACAATCTATAGTCAAAAACTAGAAAGAGCCAACCCAGGTAGGAAGTAAATTCACGTGTGACTGTCAAACATTCCCCTTTGCAAATCATCTTTGGACTTCTCGCCTGAATTCAAGCTTTCAAGCATTTGTGAGCTGATGTTTGGGATTCTTGCGCCAGGATTTTCACCAAAGCCCCGGAATCCCACATGTTTCTGGACTTAGTGGGTGCCCAGAAGAGTGGGTGTGTGCAACTTATCTCTGCCATCCAAATGCTCCTTGATACGAACGCAGGCGCGTTGTGTCACCTATGTATTACTCGCACGGTCGTCGAAGATCATGTAGGCGGTGGCTATGCAACCTTCGCCTTCGCCTTGAAGGCATATAGTGCAAGTTGGCGTGATGTAGGTGCGATCGTAAAAACTACTGCGAATAACAAGCTCTTCAGATTGCTCGGAGGCAATTCTACAACCGTAACTGTTTTCTCTAGTCCTGCGCTCCAGGACTGGCGCAATGCTGTGCTTACTTCTCGGAGATAAAGGTACGCAGAAAGCTATTTTCTCGGCTGCTGGCAATTCGATTACCACAGGTGCTGTTCATTCTCATTCCTAGGTTCCTTCGCATGATGCAAGCGCTGATGATTTTATCGTTTCGGGTTGTCCACTGCAGGTTTGTGCGGAACACGTTGATCGCAGCTTTTTTTGTTCCAAGTGGGTGGGCTAACGAGAGCGGATACGAATATTTTTGAAGCGGGGCTTGTGAATTTAGTCGCGTGCATGGCCAAGAGATTGATTTGCACATTTAAAAACGGTAGCCGAATGCTGCTGTGCTTCTGTTCATAAGCTGTATGTACTGCGATTGCTTGCTGAGTAGCTAGAAGCATTTGTCTAGATATGTTCGAGTGGTGCAGATGATAAAGCAATTGTTTGAAGGAATTAGAAGCGTGATAATTTAGAAACTTAAAAAGTACTGCACTTTTAGGCTTTAGCGATGTTTTACTCACATTGGCAAACGGTAGCACGTCCATGTTTCCCTCGAATTTGTTGCTGAAATTCTTAACCGCTGCAAAAATCCACTTTTGAAATGCAGTGTGGTATGGATCATTTAAATCGTGTTCATCTGTGCTGTTGATGCTGAAACAACAGCTGGTGATGTTGGTATATATAAAGTATGGATACCGCATACAATGCATAGTTCATCGCGTAATCCTCAGCACCAACTCCATTTGGCGAACAGTCTTCCACTGCAAAAGATGCCAAAGACTCGAGTTCACAGCTCCACCTCTCAAAATAAGAACATAATGTGAAGCAGTAAAAAATAGAAAATTAACTTCCACAATGTTTTAGGTACATACTATACATATATATTAGGTCGTACCAAAAGTTCTTGCGCACGAATTCAAAAATTCTTTACTTGTTGAATTCTAGGCGAATTAACAAGATCCAAATTTTGTATAAGAGAGGAAGTCATGGTCTTTGCATCTGTACCTGAACTGTTCGTCAACGTATACAAATGAAGGAGATAGAAGCTCAAAACCAAAATCACTCAAAATTTGAATTTTTCGTGTAGGGTCATAAAAAATCGGAAACTTGCAACAAAAATCGGAGCACTCGGTATTATAGGTTCTTTCACCAGCTCTTTACAACAGTGCAAAGCTTGCGCCGATTGAGCGTCTCTATGAAAAGTTATGTTTTCCCTGAAAAGTGCCAAAATAAATCAAATTCGCCCTTTCGTATTGCGTGCTCGAAAATCATAACTTTTCATAGAGATGCTCAATCGGCGCAAACTTTGCACTGTTAGAAAGAGCTGGTGAAAGAACCTAAAACACCGACTGCTCCGATTTTTGTTGCAAGTCTCCGATTTTTTATGACCCTACACGAAAAATTCAAATTTTGAGTGATTTTGGTTTTGAGTTTCTATCTCCTTCATTTGTACACATTGACGAACAGTTCAGGTACATTTGCAAAGAGCATGACTTCCTCTCTTATACAAAATTCAGATCTTGTGAATTCGTTTAGAATTCAACAAGTTATGAATTTTTGAATATCGTGCGCAAGAACTTTCGGTACGACCTAATATCAGTGGCGGACCGAGGGGGTGGGGAGCATGGGGGAGGGGGGGGAGGGGACGGCCTCCCCCCGAGAATAAAGGATAAAGTAATAAAGTATTCGGCGTCTTCAATGCCCTCTGAGGGCATGCGCCGAACGCACTCACTAACTTCATAGTCGAGGAGGCAATTGTGTGCGTGCGAGCCTATTACAGTGACTTGCGAGGGCCAGCCGTTTTCAAGTCAGTGCTTTTATCCTCCCAGATTGCTCTGGTATCTTAGCCATACCTTCGATACATAGAGTTACGTACTCTGGTAACCTTCACTTTGAGGGCTATGAGGGGACAACCTTCACCTGGAAAAAAACTGAAGTCATCCGGGGCTTCGCCCTGGATGTTATTATCTTGAATATTTCGGAACGAATGCTAATAAAGCAAATATAGGGACTAATATCTTTAGCTTATCTCAGCGAAACCAAGAATTTGCTTTTCATAGCCTTTTTTATGTTAAAAAGAAGGTTTCTGTGGAATTTTTGCCACATTCCAAGACAAAATTTCTCAGTTAACCTCTCGTTTGACCAAAATCGAGTTTCAGAAGTTTAGGAAAGCTATCGGAGTTAAATAAAAACGAGGAACTGCGCTCAAATCTTGCGCAGTCGCGCACAAAAACGCCGGTCTATCTCGTTAATAAGTAATTATCAAAGCTTGGGACGTTATCAGTTCTCCTCGTCGTGTCACGACGATCAGAATGATATATAATGTTGCGGGGTTTCGTTGAGACCCCGCGGAGATCTACGACCAGAGCCAAATGCCCCGTCGGCTCTGGTCTGTCTCCGCTGCTCGTCTGCGTCTCCGCGCGCTGCGCTCTACCTCGCTACCCCAAACGCGGGGCGCGGGTCATTTGGCTCTGGTGCCCTTTTCTTCGCTGTTTCGAACCCAATTTTAGCAAGCTATATATCATTTTAAAGCTCTTGATCTCTATTTTCACGCTGACAACGTCCCAGAACCACATTTTTTGATTTGATCGAGAAATCCTGCAAAAACCTTGTTTTCGAAAATCTCTTGTTTTTCTTCTAGTTTAACTCTTTTCTTGCTGATTTTTCGTGCATTCTATAGATCTTGCTTCTGTTCATAACGCAGACAACCACCCAGCCCTTACCTCTTCGATTATAGTGGAATTTTTTGCGAAAAATCGGAAAAAGTGCGTTTTTCTTTACCTTGTTCCATTTCAGTGCTTTCGCATCGATTTGATTCCAGCTTGGACGATTGTTGCTCAGAACAATAAGCGCAACAATCCAGACAACGTCCCAGGAAACAGGAACGTCAATGCGGGGGTAAAAATTCGAAGGACGCACCAAAAATCAAAACCCCGCGTTGCGAATTGCTGGTCCTCTAACGAAAACTTGCACATTGAAAAGCCGCCTAATGAAAGATTTCAAACCTCATTGCAGCGTTTTTATCCGGTTTTCAGCAGTTTCTTTTGCTTTTTACATCTGTTTTACGCCATTTTCTCTTTTCTGGTCTTCCTTAAACAACCTTCACTATTTATGACGTCAGATATTCAAACAACCTTCACTTTTGACGCCCTGTCTCTAGACTATCGAAGGTATGATCTTAGCGGCCCCGGGGAGTAGAGGGCTTGGTTGGCCCAGGGGCGGGGATCGAACCTGCGTCCGATCTGGTCATAGCGGCGCCTCATACCACTACGCCACTCGTCCCCCCCCCCCCCGAGAATGGGTCGCGAAATTCTTGAAATTTACTTACGTGGGTTATAAAAATGTGCGATTGACTTGTTTATTCTTGTAAAGAATTAAAATGATTTCTCAAATTTTTACAAATACAAATTAGCTTTGTAAAAATTTTTTTCGGGGGCGTGGCTGACGCCACGCCCCTTTACAAAGATTTTAGAAGTTATAGATCCACCAAAATTTTGAGAAGTACCCCAAAAATTTTTCGGAGTGCGTGGCTAACGTTACGCACCGACATTTGAAACATTTTTTTGCCGCCCGGCCCTGGTCGAAAATCCTGGGATCGCCACTGATATATACATATGTATTATTGTATATACATACTGATACTTTTGATTCTGAAGAGGGCGGAAAGAATTTTTTCGCTTGTTGCGTGAAAACTCCTTATGCCACTTCAGAATCAAAAGTATTATATGTATAAGGTCGTTTCAAAAGTAATTTCGCTTTTTTCAAACGGGCGTCACATTTGATGCAACAAAAGTTTCAAAGTCTTGGAAGCATTCGATGCAGAATTTCATTCTCTTTTTCACGGTTATGAATTTCTTGCAAAACAATCAATGAGCTTTCAGAAAATAACCAAAATCTGCGACCCATACTTTTTGAGATGGTCAAGTTTCACGATTTTTTAAAACTTTCGTATCAGTCCTCAGAAGGAGTTCAAATGAAGATTTGATAGAGTAAGCCTTACAGAATACAGTACTACTTTTTTCTCTTTCTCGTAGCTCGCCGTAATTTTTTAAAAGATTTTTTAACAGAACCATAGGATTTTGGCAGGCCCACCTCAGTCACAATCGCATCAAACATCAGTAATCAATCGGAGTTTCAAGCTTTCAAAATGATGTATGACTTAATATTGATTTTATCAAGCAAATGAGAGTTTACGGGTTCGGAATGTCAAATTTCGATTTTTTCGCGTACACCCTGGGTCTCGCTAAAGAAATGAGTTATGATGATTTTTCCCCGGAAACTAAACGAATCGGAATCAAAAAACATCTGCTAGAAAGAGGAGAAAAAGCTGCATCGAACAGCGCGCAAGCTGCTCTCTCATTGATGTTCTACGAGATTTGAGTTGACCAAGTATGGAAATCGGTAGCATCAGTTAAAATTCTGTCAAAAATGTAGGACAAGTGTGGAAAGGAGAAAAAAGTAGTTTTGCATTCTGTAGGGTTTGCTCTATAAAGGCGTTACTTGAACTGCTTCTGAGGATTGATATGAAAGTTTCAAAAAATCGTGAAACTTGACCATCTCAAAAACCATGGGTCGCAGATTTCGGTTATTTTCTGAAAGTTTACCGACTGTTTTGCAACAATTTCATAACGGTGAGAAAGAGAATGAAATTCTGCATCTAATGCCTCCAAGATCTCTTAGAAAGCTTTGTTCCGTCAAATGCGGTGCCCGTTTGAAAAAAGCGAAATTACTTTTGAAACGACCTAATATATATTAGGTTGATGCATAATTCCTGCACCAAAATAGGTTCAGGCCGCAATAACTCGGAATAATCCTATATCCCATATAGAACTCCATAAATCGTTAGAAAGCGCAAACGTAGCTCTACAAGATAGCGCTCAAATATCTTCACCAGCTTTGATCCACGCGAAGTTTTGAGCCGAGAACTGAAAAAAACCATGCGTCCGAAAACCTTGAGACCAATCAAAACAAAATTGCAACTTCGTTCAAAAAGCTTCTACAAAATTTCTTTTTTGCTCACGCGTAGACATTCCACGTAAGACATCTATCTATGCGGTTCCTGTATTTTTTCCTCAGCTAGACGATGAGAAAACGAAGTTTTTCGCGTTTTTGTCAAATTAGTGCTGAGATGTTCTAGTACTGACAGTTGTATAGCACAGGCCGTTAGCAGTAAAATCTTACATTTTCAACCTTCTGGAACTGCTAGTTTACAAGAAATGATTAATCTAGCTCTCTTCATACGAATTTTTCTTGCTTAGTTGCCAAAAATTCGATATTTCTCGCAAAGCAGTTGCTGTAAAGAAGTGAAAATTCACACTCACGCTTCTAAGGTCCTATAGTATACAACTGTCAGTGCTAGAACATCTCAGCGTCGTTTTGGAAAAAACATGAAAAACTTCGTTTTCTCAATTTCTAGCTGAGAGAAAAATACAGCAACTGCATAGAAAGATGTCTTATACGAAGTAACAATGCGTAACTTTCAAAAATTTCGCTCCCATTCTCGGGGGGGGGGGAGGGCCTCGGTACGCCACTTTTAGCTTCATATGCGTATGTAAATTCACACCAGCTGCCTTCCGATGTTTGTTAGGTCGTTCCAAAAGCTATTTCGATTTTTCGACCTATCATAAAAACACGTAGAATGAAGGCACCCAAGCGTCAAAACCTACTCGATGCAGCTTTTCTTCTTTTTTCAGGTGTTAAACTGAATTAGTAACTCTCGTGGTCACTGATATATTCGTCGAAATTTAAACTCAATGTTTTCAAGCCCAACTTTAGCATTTTCAACTCAAAATCTTCATTTG